GAAAGCTTAACATATGAGGAACATTTGAGGACTCTGGGATTATACTCAATGGAGTTTAGAAGGATGAGGGGGGAATCTAATTGAAACTTACAGTATACTGAATGGCCTGAACAGAGTGGATGTTGGGAAGATGTTTCAATTGGTCGGAGAGACTAGGACCTGAGGGCGCAGCCTGAGAGTAAAGGGAAGACCTTTTAAAACGGAGACAAGGAGAAACTAATTCAGCTAGAGAGTGGTGAATCTATGGAATTCACTGCCGCAGAAGGCTGTGGGAGGCCAGGTCATTGATAACGTTTAAGACTGAGATAGATAGGTTTTTGATTATCAAGGGTTACGGGGAGAAAGCAGGAGAATGGGGTTGAGGAACTTATCAGCCATGATTGAATGGCAGAGCAGACTCGATGGGCCGAGTGGCCTCATTTCTGCTCCTATGGCCTTATGGAGATCTGCTCGCATCGTTTAGTGGCTGGCTGGCACCTCGTGGATATGTGTTGCTAAGTTGGCCGCCTGTTTGCTCCCAGCGCAGTGCAGTCTCCGCATGGTATCCTGCACAACACATTCGTCCTGTCCATACCGACCATTACAATGCACAGCCAGATAACCTATTGCCAAGCAGCAAAAAAACAGACCATATAAATCCGAACTGGCACAGGACAACAGCACTTCATAGGAGGCTCCACATCCCTGAGGATGTCACCTAGTAAGGGGACGAAACGTCTGCTATCAAAGCCCCCCAGCTCAGCGAACACACCAACGTCTACAACCAGCACTCAAAATGTCACAAATCTTCACTCAAACCCAGGGCTCTCATATATTACAGCTGATCTTTCTCTGTAGCTGTAACACTTTACTCTGTTCCATCACCCTGATGTACTTGTGTAAGGTAGGATTTGTTTAGTTAGTATATGCAACAATAATTCTCACTCTATCTCAATACATACGACCAATAATAATTCAAATCGAATTAAGGAAGGGTCACCGGACCCGAAACGTTAACTCTGTTGTTCTCCTTCACAGATGCTGCCAGATCTGCTGAGCTTTTCCAGCAACTTCTGCTTTTGTTCCTGATTTACAGCATCCGCAGTTCTTTCGGCTTTTATGAAGTTAGGCACAGTTGCTTCTGACCCAAACTCCTCACCCTCAAAGTGGCCAGACGAGTAGATAGAAGGCGTATGGCATGCTTGCCTTTATTGGTCGGGGAATTGAGTACACGAGTCAGGATGCTA